TTCCTTTGCAAAGGAGGACAGAACCCAGAAAATGCAACATTGTAGCTGTTTTAATTCCAGATTTAAAACAATGTAAATGAGCTATATAAAAATGACTTTAACTCACCTCTGCTGTGAATACAAAATGAGTTTATATGTTGCGTTCTTCCAAAACCACAAGTCAATGATTTTCTTTTATCTGTGGAACACAAGAGATGCTTTTAAGAATCATTAAGCTGCTGTTTTGAATCCAATGAAAGAAAATTATTTTAGGCAGTTACATTCCTAAAATGAGTAAAGGCATCATGTAAAAAGGACACATTTTGAGGTCAGTATAATTTCTTTAAATATTTTTTTCTTATGCTCACCAAATACAGCAGGAAGTTCATCCTTAAGGGCCACTATCCTGCAGAGTTTCGCTCATACCCTAATTAAACACAGCAGAACTGGCTAATCAAAGTCTTCATGCTCACTAGAAACTAAAATCTGCGGAACAGTGGGCCTCCAGGAACACAATTGGACACCCCTGAAACATTTTAATGCAATTTAAAATGTAATTTATGTGATGGCTGGACTTTTAGCATAATTTCTCCAGCACCGCATGATCTTTCAGTAATACTTTTAGAATACTTCATTGTCAACCAATTTCAGAAAGATCAAGCTGTTGAAATTTAGCTGATGAAAAGCAAATTGGTTCCTCAGCAATTCCTAGAAATTCATACTGCTCTAAATAGGTCTTCATCAGCAGAAAATGCATTTACGTCATAAAATTAGTTCATTTGTTGGTTATGAATTGCCCAAACTAGCTTGAAATGGCTAATGAGATAGTTTTCAATCATTGCAAGTGACTGTGTTTGTGCGTTTATACGTTCAGAAATGCTCAGAAAGTAATGAATAAAATGTATTAGTGACTGGCCAGTGTATTACGGGCTGTGCTAATCACAGAGTTGATGTGGCCATATGTTGAGTACAAGGGGGAAATTGAGGAAATAGACTGTCATAATTTAATTCAAAGGGGTTTAATGAGTTCCATTAAAAAGAGAACTGGCTGAACCAACTCAGTTGCATAATTTGGTCCAGTCCTGGGTGGAATTAAGCACAAACTTCTTGCTCTCAACATCCACTCTAGAAATGATACTTTGTTAATACTGTTTTGCACCTCTTTTTGTATTGACTAGCCTAATGTTTTATGGTATAGATTTAACCAGGTGCTGGAAATATTCTTCAGAGATTTTAGTCCTTATTGACAGTTGTTAGCTGAACTTCCACTATGTGAATCTCCCATTCAACAACATCCTAGAGGTGCATGTAGAGATCTAGTTACTGTGGAGCAGTGTTCATTTCATTGATGAAAAATTTTGTCATAATTTTTGTGACAAGCGTGTGATTGAGGGATGTATTTTGGTAAATATCTAATCCGAATTAATCTAGTGATTTGTGTGATAGTGACGCACACAGCATTTGAAAAGTAACTGATCCACAATAAACAGAACACAAGACTTGAGTACACAAATCACTGACCATGCACTTACACATGCGTTTCATCCCCATCGCCAACCAAGACCGAAACCAACTAGACTGAAACGCTGAGAATGAAATGGCACACTGCCTGACAGATCAAACACAAACACCGGGATGAGAGCATGCATTACGAGGATGGCCCAATCACAGCCAAGACGACACTCATACAAAACACGAAGACAAGAACAGAATAAGAGTGCTTGACCTGAGAAAACTCAAGCCGAGCACAACATACAAGAAAAAAAAGGGCTAGTTTCAGAAATTTGCCACCAAAACAAGACCGAAGTGGCTGAATCCTGACAGGAAAAGCTATAATTCATATTTTGATGATAATGTTTTATTTAATTTTAAGTCTGAATATTTTATATAATAAATGTTTACAATATTTTAATTAAATTACATTTAAATTAAACCAAATATATTTTAGTCAATTAAATCTAGAGTAGATTTAGTCGACTAAAATCTTATGAAAATGTAGTCTACTAAAAATAATCTAAAACTAAAATGATTCAGAAGACTAAAAATAAAATGGAACTTTAGTCAAAAGACTAAGACTAAAACTAAGTCAAAATTTGCTGTCAAAATTAACACCACTGTGGAGGCAATTTGAGTTCATTGAACTCATTATCAGGTTCAAGAAACCTTTTTCAGCTGATTTAAGCTTTGTGACAGCCTATTTTTCGGCTGGAAGTAACCATCACACTGTGGTCATGAAGGGATAGACATGACCAACAATAGGTTGGCTGTGGGTTTAAAACAATGATTAATTGATCAAGAGACCAAAGATCTTCATCGTTTTATTAAAGGGACCAAAATCAACACTAATGGTAGAGCCAAGCTGACACATTGGAATTGATCAAATTTACACAATGTTCAGACTCCTCAGGGAAATCAGTCTACAAATGGCTTTTTTTCTATTTCCTTTGTACATTAAATAATCAATTTAACAAACCAAGATTGTGTTTTAACATTCCATACATTCAAAACCTTCACCACATGCTTTTTTTATATATGCACATCTCTGTGACTTTAAGGTTAAAGTGTGTGTGCATGAAAACCAGAGTGAGGATTTATAAAGAGTATGGGCATTTATGAAGGGGTCCAATGACTCTCCAGCGTACTGTGAAAGATGAAGGTCTTCCCCCAAGCAACCCAAAGCCATATTCATTCGTTCTACTGATTTCCCCCATCACCCCATCTGCCTCTCTACCCACAACCAATCACTTCTCCTCAGCTGACACAGCAGCAGCAGCAGCAGCAGCGGGGCCTGCAGGGGGCCGAGTGTGTATGAGCCTGTGCATGTGTGAATCTCTTGAAACACATGAGTCATCCGACTTTCTTTCCTATCAAAGTGTTAGTCTTTGAAGTGTAGGTGCACAGTGGGTTCGCCTTGAGCACTGTAACTGTTTTTGTGAAGAGAAACAGCACGCTCTTAATAACCAGCAAAAATGCAATGAAGTCTTTATAATCTCTCTAAATGCATTAAGATGAAGCAATGTTATGCAAACTAAAATCCCATAAAGATGAATAACATATAGGCACACCAATATACACTGTCTTAATCTCATTTATTAAACACACCTAATTACTTTAGACTCCTAGACCAAAGATACAGTGTGTGTTCATGACATTTCATAAGTTCATGACATGTCAAATAATGTAAACAATCACACTTAACTGAATGAAAATGCTGCTGAAAATAATCAATTATTGTCATGTTTAGAGTATTATAAACTGCCAAAGTGACAAATCAGTGATCCATTTGTGGTTGGCCAAACTTACCTAAAATTTTTAGAACAAGAATTGTTTCAATGGTGAAGTGAAATATTAAGCTAATATCTTAGCTAATACTCATATGTATCACCTATTCTGTTTGTTAATATCTTGCACCTTTTCGTACTTACGAAGACATTATGATTTAGCAGCATCCACACATTTTTTTCTGTGATTCCGATAATCTTCAAATTAAGTTATTTTTTGTTTTTTGCTTGAGGGAAAACAATAAGTTGGAAAAGGCTGAGTTAGGGCTGGGCAATTCATTGAAATTCAATTTGATTACAATTTTGGCCTCCAACAATTATTAAAAAAAATTACAAAACTTGAATCGAGGTAAAATTATTGTGATATTGCATCATATCTTGTTGGGTTTCCAAGCAGTCTGCATTTCTTTCTCAGCAAAGCTCAGTTTCAAACAGAAATCCCAGAAATCATAACATGGCTTGTGCAGCTTGGAGCATGCTTCATTCATTGAAGTTTTCATTCATTCATGTTTTTAAAAGCAGGCTGCACCTAAATATTCAAATAAACTCTTGTTTGTTATGTAATAAATGAACATAAAATAATTAGAATAAAAATGAAAGTGCAACAGTAAATCAAAACTGCACAGCTCTTAAAGTATCAGTGCTCTACTTTCCTGCTGCAGACTGCGTTCATCATTATTAATCAAACAACAAAAGACAAAGAAAAAAATCCTCTGCTCTTAACTGAAACACTTTTGTAGATTTAATAAGATACATTCATACATTAATTTTCTTTCGGCTTACTCCCATACATATCAGGGGTCATTACAGCGAATTCCGGCATTTGTCTTATGCAGCGGATGCCCTTCCAGCCACAACCCAGTTCTGGCAATTAATAGGAAACAAATCTATAATATGTTTACTCTATTATATAATTTATTTTAATATATTAATATTATTTTTTTCCATATTGAGGTATTGAGAAATTTAAAATTTTATTATCTTGAAAATATATTTAAAAATCTCTCTTTTTGTCTTCTATGTTTTCTGTTTTTAAGATCTCTTATAATTGAAACAGGTTTTAGTTGTCTTCTCTTAGTATTTTTCATGATTACATTTTTTCTCTTTGCGTCACAAAATGAAGTTTTATAAACTAATTTCAAGAGAAGCATGTGATATGATTGATCGTGGCTGGTCTCACATTAATAATCATTGCTACTCCAATCAGATACCATTCCTAGACCAATCAGATGAATTCTAGCCTCCAGTAAATAAACCCATTCATCATTCATTCCTTGTCTTCATTTTGAAGAATCCCCTTATCCACCCCGTCTCCTCCTTCACCAGTGGGAGCTCTCGAGAACTACCTGATCTCAGTCCTCCTGTCATGCTGCATGACCAGGCGAGAGCCCTGGGCTCAAGAATCTCCGAGCTCAGGGTTCCCTCCCGAAACAGTATGCCAAAACTGCAAATTGTATCCAGCATTATAACTAAATGTGACCTCTTAAAACTAAAATCTGATAATTCTATACAAGGCCAGTCATTTCACATTTAAATTTTCTTGTACAATATAACACAATCCACATTCATTCTCTGGTCCTCTGGTCTTTTTGTGTCTCCTTTTTATTTGCCTCAAAATTTAAGCAATGACATTTGTAATAAAGTTTATACATCTTGCTCTATAAAAGAGCAACCTCAGAGTAAACAGTGTCCATTTATTATCATGAAGCTGACATGTCTCCTTCTCCTTTTTCTCTCTAGATAAAGTAGATGATGAATTAGAGATGACAATGGTCTGCCATCGACCGGAGGGTCTCGAACAGCTCGAGGCGCAGACAAACTTCTCCAAGCAAGAGCTACAAGTTCTATACAGAGGTTTCAAAAATGTACGCCGCTCTGTATTTCTCATTCCCATCACTCCCACATCAGCACATTTACTTCACACAAATTTCTTTTGACACATTTTGCAATCTGATAAGAAGCTTATCTGTTTACGCAATATATCCTTATGCCTCGATATCTTCTCTTATGAATCATCGCATCTCATCTGCATATACTGTCCCTGTGGTTCTGTTTGCCCGTGTCTCATCTGTCTTTAAAACACTGTAAACTCTTATTGTTCCTCTTTGCATTATCCAGCCTGTCACTAATCACTGTGTGCTAGCCTCAAGCAACAGTCAGCTATAGTCATATTTCACAATACCAACATTCACATGCTGTATTAGACTCACATAAACAGTCAGGCTCAACAGCACACCCACACAGCAGCTAATGTTTGTAGTGTTTTAAAAAGCTTCATTAAAACCACTACACTTTTCAACCTTTTTAAGACTTTTTTGCTCTATATTGTGTTATTTTTTAGATGTTACAGTACATAACAATATGTTTACTGCTTTTTTTCATTTTTTTATTTATTTTATACTAGTATTTTATTTACATTATCACATTTCTATTTATAAATGTAATTTTTTTTAGCATGAAAATACTAAAAAGTGGCATGTTTTCAGGCATGTTTATGTTATTTTTTAACACAATACAAATGTTTTAAATTTAGAAGGGTTAAGAAACTCTTGGTTGAATAAAACATTTTGTATTCTGTCATTTTCTTAAAAGAATTATCAAATAATAATAAATCAAATAATAAAATGAAAACAAATAATTATAACAATAATTGTGGTTGAAATTTTGACACCAGTAAAATAAATATAACAAATTCAGTCAAACACCTAAAAAAATCAATCCAAAACTATATTTATCAAGTGGTCTCCTAAATTGTTTCACATATTTCTATACTACTGGTTTGAAATATCCAAAAATGAGTCTCGTAGCAATATTATGACCTGTTTGTTTTCCCCCACAGGAGTGTCCAAGTGGAGTGGTGAATGAGGACACTTTTAAACACATTTATGCACAATTTTTTCCACATGGAGGTACTTTCCAAACAATTCTTTAGTTAACACCAAAAAGAACACCTGTCATCACTTTGAGACCCTCATGTTTCTCCATTCCTATAAGAAATTTCTTCATCTTCAGTAGACAAATAAAAATATTTCAATCAAATCTGAAAGATTTCTGTCTCTCCCTTCAATGTGTTTTCAAAATATTTATAAAGATATTTTAAAAAATCCATATGAACTTCATGAGTTCACTCATGGACTCTCCTTCAGCATAGTCATTGATGTTACAGGGTTTGCCACAGCGGAATGAACCACCAATTACTCTGGAATTTGTTTTATGCAATGGATTAAAACATACAAAATATTCATTTGTGTTTAAGTTTATAAATTAACATGCACTGTAAAAAATTCTAGGTTCCACACAATGATTTGTGTTGGGACAACATGAAGGAATCAAGTTAAAGAGCCCCTATTATGGATTTTTGAAAATGACATTCCATGTCGTTTGTAACACAGCACTAAATGAATGGAAGATTCCAGCTGAGATTTAAATTTAAAAGTGCACCGTGTTTAAAACTATTAATTAATAAAAACAAACAAAACAAACAAAAAAAAAATATTAATTCATTAAGGAAAGAATCAATTTAGAGTCGAGGAAATGAACCGTGTTGGGTTTGCCTGAATGCATTAATACGGTACATCACCAAATATAAAGTGCCGGATCCGGTAAAAAGTGAACGCAATTTTCCTTTCAGACACTAGCGGAACACTGGGGATCTCGAGACTGATCATGACACGAAGATGAAGATCACTGACAGTTGGAGATTCGGCTGCGGGGAATAAAGGGTTAAAGTTCATTTTCACAAGAATACCAAAGTATAGCCAATCTAGAGCTGTGTTTGTTCCTGTGATTTTACTGATAATTAATACAATACACTGCAATGCATGATTCTGACTTTGTCAGACTTTGACAGGGACTTTGTCAGTAACAGTTATAGTTCATATAGACCAGTTATTTCCTCCTCCAGATCATGAGATGCAAGTTCAATTACAATTCTTCATTTTTTGTAGTTTGCAAAATTTGCATTTCATTTTTGTTGACCTGTAATTGCCCCACATGGCTTGTAATCCCTTATCTATTATAGATCAGTGCTTGTACTGTATCACTCAGGCTAATTCTTATGGGGATATTCACATATTGCGCCCAAAACCAAATTGAAAATGTGACGTGTGCTTCTTCCTTTACTGATTTAAAAGTGTTTCTTAACTCACGATCCTCAGCCATTTGTTTTTGTTATGGCAATCATTGGCTGTTCCTACACATGCGGGGCGTGGCCAATTTTCAAAACAGATAAAGTTTTGATACTGTTTGGAGTAGAGTAATATGCTGTTGTTTAACTGCATTGTTTTAGTGCATTCCTGCATTGGGCTCTCACATACTCTGTTTCACTTCATAGCTTTGTTGGGTGTTTCTCTCTGTCTAGCGGTGAACCCAGTCGATCAATCACAACAGACTGGGTCATCAGACCGATCACAGCAGTTGAGTCTCATGCTGTTGGGAAAAAATGAGTCGCTGAACCAATTATATACGAGTCGTTGGGATAATTAGGTAAAAGGCATATTACAAGACAATTAAAGTCTTTTTGACCTTACATGCATATCAGCCTGTTGTTGGAGACCCAAAACCAAAATATGACCTTTTGTAATGCATAATAGGAGCTCTTTAACTTAATGGGTTTTAGAAATATAAGTGGACTGAACATAAAACTATTAAGTTATCCCCTAAAAAGCTGAAGAATGGTGTTGTTACAGCTCATTTGAAATAAGTAGTGTATCTTCCAAAATGCAAATGAGGATTATCATTTAGAGCATTTATTTGCAGAAAGTGTCAATAGGTCAAAAGGTCAAAAGATTCATATTGATCTCTTTTTGGGTAAACAGATTTACAGTGGAGAGATTTCATAACGATTATGTTCATTTAGCTACTAAGATGAACAAAAGTCTTATGGGTTTAAAATGACATGAGAGTAAATAAATGCTGACAGAATTTCCATTTTGTGGTGAATTTTACCTTTTAAATATTACATACGATTTCAGAGAATTAACATATTTAATGTTTTCATCTGTCGCCACTCCTTTAACAGATGCCAGCACATATGCACATTATCTCTTCCATGCGTTCGACACCAGAAATAATGGATCAATAAAATTTGAGGTATGAAGCCTAGATGAGAGCAGAATTAAAATAATGACATCGCACAGAGAAATGATTTTCTCACTCTCTCAGGACTTTGTGATGGGACTATCCACTCTATTGCGGGGGACAGTCAGAGATAAGCTGGAATGGACATTTCATCTCTATGACATCAACAAAGATGGATTCATCAATAAGGAGGTATGTCATATTTAAAGGGCAGGTGTAAATGTCATTACTTGATTCAGTAACGAATTCATTCTTCATGTACCTTTCAGGAAATGACAGAGATAGTGAGAGCGATCTACGACATGATGGGGAAATACACATATCCAGCTTTAAAAGGAGACGTACCAAAGGCGCATGTGGATGCTTTCTTTGAGGTCAGTCATTAGTCTGTTAATTATTCAGTCATTCTTGGAGGTTACATTAAAATTTAAAAACATTGGATTTTTTGTATGCTTTTTTGTGCTTTTGAAAACTGCTTTCACTCAATTTAGTTGATTATAACAATGTAATCGAAATTCTGAGAAATTTTTCATGTTCCTTCTGTTTAATCCCTTCATTATCAGCAGTCACCACGGCAGAATAAACTGCCATTAACATATTAAATTATTAACATTTTTTTTAATCTCTGGTCTTGAGTGCCACATATTTCAGAAATCATTCTATAGTAGTGGTGAAGTACTGCTTAGTTATATTAAACTATTGCTGATGGTTAATTATTAAAATAGTTTTTGCTATTTTTTAAGTATTAGTGTGAACTGTTTTTGTTGCTTTTTTTTGGCTAAATTTTGTGAATGATTTTTATAGCACGAGCTGTCACAGCAAGCTAAATACACTTTCACTCTTTCACAGAAAATGGACAAAAACAAAGATGGAGTTGTAACATTGGAGGAGTTTGTCCTTGCCTGCCAAGAGGTACATTCACATTATGTGCAATTTCATTAGTCTTTTGCTGGGGTGCCCAAACTCTGTCCTGAAGGGCTGTTGTCCGGCATAGTTTAGATCCAACCCCAATCAGACACACCTGGGATAGCTAATCAAGCTGCGGTCACACTGGACTTTTATTCCCATAGACTTCCATTCATATGCACGCAAATACGTCAGACTGGAAAGGCAAGCTCGTGCAAAAGGTTTCGCAGTTCGCTGCATTGCAAAGTTCAAGCTTGGTGAACTCTGACCTGCCAAATCACATCACTTGACTGCGTGACACCAACCATGGGGGTTAAAACATGACCTCTCTGGACAGAAATTTAAAATATGAACCAATCGCTTGCTTTTTAAATGTCTAATCATCTTGTTTAATCCCACCCCTTTTTACATCACCCTACAGAATTTCACACACACAAATTCTAGTGTGACCGCTGCTTTAATAGGCTTGAAATGTCCAGGCAGGTGTGTTGAGGCAAGTTGGAGCCAGAGATGGCAAAAGTACACACATCCCTTACTTAAGTAGAAGTAAACGAATAAAAAGTAGAAGTACTGACTACACTTTTGTACTTAAGTAAATGTAAAGAAGTATAGTCTCAAAAATGTACTTAAGTTAATGATTCATTTTCTTGTCGGCTTAGTCCCATTATTAATCCGGGGTCACCACAGCGGAATGAACCGCCAACTTATCCAGCAAGTTTTTACGCAGCGGATGCCCTTCCAGCCGCAACCCATCTCTGGGAAACATCCATACACACACTCATACACTATGGACAATTTAGCCTACCCAATTCACTTGTACCGCACGTCTTTGGACTATGGGGGAAAATGGAGCACCCGGAGGAAACCCATGCGAACGCAGGGAGAACATGCAAACTCCACACAGAAAGGCCAACTGAGCCAGGATCGAACCAGCGACCCAGCGACCTTCTAGACCTCACATCCTATTGATACAACAATATAAACTAACCTACATTTCCAAATTTCCAATTTTTATGTAAAACGTTTGTTGGCAATTTTATGAAAGTAGCCAAGCAGCATCACACCCTGTAATACTGTACAACAACATTGCTCAAAGTCAGCTCATGTATCATCATCCTGACGCCAGGATCAAACTCCTGAACAGCGAGCTGCTATTAATGTTCATACACAATAAAATGAATTCTGTAGGTCTGTATATCTTTTTAAATAATGACATTTTACACTGAATTCTGTCTTATATATATATATATATATATATATATATATATATATATATATATATATATATATATATATATATATATATATATATATATATATATCATTTTATTTATTTTTTTAATTGTAAAGTGAGAATGGAAAGATGAAAATGGCTCTAAACTTTGTTGAACAAACAAAAAGATATTCTGAAGAATGTTGGAAAAGCAGTCACTGACATCCATTGAAGCTCTAACCGATCTGGAACAAGTGGATATGAATAAATGGTGGCAGAATTGTCATTTTTAGGTGATCTGTCTCTTTAAGTTGTTATACAAAATCACATTTTTCACAGCTACCATTGAGATGATAACAGTATTGTCTTTGAAACCATTTTTTAAGTCTGCTTATTTTTAACTGAACATCCAAAACACAAAAAGCCATGTAAAGCACTGAGTTACATGCAATAATAAAGAGCTTAACTAACTAAAAAGATAACACTGCCTCATTGTGGTCAAACTGCTGAACTACATCTAGAAAAAATCTATTTTCTTTTCACCAGGATGAAAATATGATGAGATCCATGCAGCTCTTCGAAAACGTGATGTAGAGAGGATCGACGAGAAGAAGAAAAGAACAAAACAGAGAAGAGGAAAGGAAGGGAAAGAAAGCAAGAGAGATTTTATGTTTAAATACATATCTGCTATATTTCACAAGGGAAATTGAAAGCCTGAGAAGGATGAGAGTCTATGAGCTTTGTTTTTCTCTCTCTCTATTTATATCTTGTAACTTACTAAATGTTGTCTCTTGCTGGTGTTTTGGGTAATTACCGGCCCAGAATCCACCTTTATCCAGCCACTGAAGACTACATGAGGTTTCATGACTGTTTGGAAGGCAATGTGCAATGACTAACTAACTATTGGGTGGCAATGATCAACACCCTTGCTCCCTGTGACCATTTTCTTGACCCTAGAGCTCAGGACTCTGCATTTAGTGTTCTGGAACTGCATCCAGGAGGAAACACATCCTCCATTTGCTTGCTTTCTCGACAAAAGAGCTTGCATGATGATAAAGACCAGCTGATATGAGTTGCTTGAAAATAACGTTGGCCTTCTAAATATCTGTTTTTATGATTTGCTGTATTTATCTATGAAACAGGGTTTGGAGGATAATATTTGGATGTTGATTTTGTGTCTTGTGTTGTCAACGTTGTTTGTTTGTAATTGGTGTTTCCAGACGACCTGCTTATGTCTGTCCGTCTCAGTACTTGCCAAGCCATTTTGCCCATTGGACCATAGTGAAAAATGTGGGACAGAACTTACTGTAAAAGTGTGTCTATGTATGGCAAGGTGTGAGGAGAATTAAAGAATCTGTATTTAAAATCTGTATTCAAACCCAACAAATGACAATCTAGCTTCTGGATATTCTTCTATCCCTTGATACATTTGCATATGTTCAAAAAAGACAGTTATTTGTAAGTGGAAAAACACATCCATTTACAGTAAATTGCATAAAAGGAAAACAAATACATTAAAGGGAAGTGGTCAGGTTTAATTAAATGACATATAAGCTATGTATATATACAGTAATTGCATAAGTATGGTGCCATATGAAGAAATGCCCAGTGAGGCAAATACAAACTGTGAAAATGAAATAACAGAAATATGCTGTGCAATTGCAATATCAGTCCAAACTGATTAAAATCATTTGTGGAAGAACATTCGGCTGTGTGTTTTTATTTTATTGTTTATTACTATGTTATACAAAATATTGGGTCATTTTGCTGGATACTATAATTACACTCTGGTTCTGGTAGAACACAAATATCATTCTTTTATTATTTTTAATAACAACAATGATAATAATTAATTCATCATTCATTCATTTTCCTTTGGCTTAATCTCTATTACAGAGGCTGCCACAGCAGAATGAACCACACACTATTAGAGCATGTTTTACGCAGCAGATGCCCTTTCAGCTACAACCCAGTATTGGGAAACACTCATTTACACAGACACACACATATACCATGGCCAGTTTAGTATTTAATTCACTTATAGCGCATGTCTTTGGACTGTGGGGGAAACCAGAGCACTCGGAGAAAACCCAAACAAACATATGAGGAGAACATGCAAACTCCACACAGAAATTTAAACTGGTCAAGTGGAACCTTCTTGTTGTAAAGCAACAGTGCTAACCACTGAGCCACCCCAATAATAATAATAATGTATAATAATATAACATCTTAAATGTTATATTTAAATTAATTGGAGTAATTTATTGTTAGTTAAGATGTTTAAAGATGATTACTCTGATATCTTATGAAACATAAACAACAGATTCTCAAATGCTGGATTGTCAGAAACAAAAAGCAGGTACTATATTGTTTACTGAGTATTAATGGATTCTGTGGTTAAAAATGTAATAAACATTTTAAATGACATATTTATGTGAAGGGTACGCAGTAGAGCAGTAGGTAGTGTTATCGCCTCACAGCAAGAAAGACGCTAGTTCGAGCATCGGCTGGATCAGTTGGCGATTCTGTGTGGAGTTTGCATGTTCTCCCTACGTTCGTGTGGGTTTCCTCCGGGTGCTCCGGTTTCCCCCACAGTCCAAAGACATGCGGTACAGGTGAATTGGGTAGGCTAAATTGTCTGTAGTGTGTGAGTTTAAATGAGTGCGTATGGATGGGTTTCCCAGAGATGGGTTGCAGCTGGAAGAGCATTCGCTGCGTAAAATATGTGTCTTAATATACAATTTGCTGTGGTGCTCATTCATTTTTGGTGGGTGCTCCTATTTTTTTTCTGGTGCTCCTAACTTTTTGAAGTCGAAAGCACTGGTGCTACCACGTATAAAGGTTCATTTCGAGCCCTGCATTGAACAAATACTATTTTTTATTTATTTATTCTTTCATATTTTTATATTTTATATTTATATTATATTTTATATTTTTTATTGTTCTGTGATTTGTTTTCAGTGTAAAATTATTTATGTTTAAATGTCAAAAATGTCAATTATTTTTAAGCACAAAGAGAGAAATGGACTATTGTTTGTTTTTATTATTATTTTGTGCTGTATTAATTAGTTACTGAGCAGCAATTAATAACACTGTAAAATATCATTTTTATATAATAATTTTGAATAAGAGTTTTCATGTGATTTTCTAAACTAGTAGTGTTTTGGAATGAATAAATGCATAATAATCGTGATAATCGTGAAACCATGATTATTTATCAGACTATATCATACAACCAAAATCTATAATCCTTGCATCTCTATTAAATATGTGTTCTTTTACTTGAGTACATGTTTAGTGCTGAATCGGTACTTTTACTCCACTACTTTACTTCAACCAGTCACTACTTTATTTTTTCTTTTCTATGGGATTGGCAGAGTAGAAAAATCAGTCCTGTGATTTTGTCCAATCCAATCGCACATAGAAAGTAAATCGCATCATACTGACCTACCTGAAGACATGGGCACTTTATAAATGCAGAAAACCAATTGAAACCATTAAAAGTGTCTAAAGATGTCCAAATTTATCACACGCAGTGACCCAGAGACTCTAACTTATGAGAAGATGATGAAGTCATTAAATGGCCTTAAACAAGCACTAAGTTACACACGTGCGAACAAATTGCATGTAAACGGTTCAACCACGGGTGCCCTGGGGGTTGGGTCTTGGGGGGAGGACAATTCTAAGGGCCCACGCACTTCAGGGGTCCCAGGACTTAGGGCCCTGACAACCTCCCCCTGCCTCTACACTTTCTTCCTCTATGTACAACAACCTCCCCACTCCCCCTTAACTTTGCAAACAAAGACCCCCAGCCGCCCTTTACTTTTGTCCATGATACATCTCCCACCACGTCTCGCACCCAGTTATTGACTTTTGTCCGCGATACCACCAACATCCCCCACCCCACCCCCTCGCTTATCACTTTCGTCTGTGATACATCCCCCACTCCCACTGCTTTTTTGGGCCCACCAAAACAATCCTGTCAGGGTCACAATGTAATACTCACCGCTAACTACTCTTGAGTATTTTAAAAAGGGCTACTTTACTCATATTTTGAGTAACATCTACAACAAATAGTTTTACGCTAGTTGTACTGCATTTTGGCAAGTAATGGTACTATTACTTAAGCATGATTTTTCTGTACTCTTTCCACCACAGTTGATTAATGGCCAAAAACTGATAAATTAAGACATGATTTGTCGGATTAAATCTCATGCTCTTCAATGAATATTAGTCATACCTCAAACTCCGTGATTCTCTGTCCCTGGAGCTCAGTGATTGGCTGGACCGGAGGACCGTCACAGAAGTGGGCGTGATTTACTCGATGTGGGTCAGTGTGCTCTTCCTGCACTCGTGTTCGCTGACTGCACATTTCAGCCGACGTACAGTCACACACAGCCTGCAGACATGGATCTCGAACAGATGGGTCCCCAAACCTTCCTGTACGGTATGTAATACATTAATTACATTCTATATAACGTTAGTGTACTAGAAGTACGTAAACATGGCACTTAATTAGTTAAGCAAACTGAGAATGGTAGAGTGACCTGTCAGCTAACACAGGTTATTATTACCATTCTCAGATGTCTTTAAAGCACAGTAATTGTATTAATTATTATTGTAAATACAGTGTAATGTCTATTTTTAACTACTCGATGTGTGGTGACTATACTTACAACACGTGTGTCGCATGAGTTCGTACTAGCTAGTCTTCTAGCATAAGAGAGTAATCTCAAAATTGAAGCGAACCATTAAATGACGCTTGTTTACGTTTGTTCTTGGATTTGCGAGGTAATTTGAAAATAAATCCCTAAATACAAGTTTCAGAGAACGAAAAACTAACTTGCATCTGTACGGCTCGTGTCTCTCTGCACGCGCTCCCTAAACACGTGCACTGGCGCTCCAAAATGGCGTCACCCTGCTACACGTGTTAACCGAGACAACGCATGTAACCATTTCTATTGCTTGCCTGCAATGTAAACTTATTTTCTGTATGTATTTTTCACGTTTTTTAGATGCTCTTTCTTTTTTTATAAATATACTAAGTTTTTATCGTAAGGTATGTCGGTGGTAACGGCTATGGAACATATGCCAATATTCAGCAAAGCTAGTTTAAACCGTAGTTAACTTATGGTTAAATGTTTGACCTTAGTCTGTAACAGTAAATTAACGACCCACAAACCTGTCCACATGTTTGTTCCTTTTAACACATTCATCATACCAAGGGTCCATGTGTTAACACAGACCAACCACTGCACTGATTTTAAAAGTGGATTGTTCAACAGTTAACAAAAAAATAATCAGACTGTCTCAGATATCTGTCTTGTTTTCTTATAAAATTTTATGTTTTACAGGTTGTGAACTGAAAGCAGGCAAGGATATCACGTTTAATCCAGAGGATGATGATTATGATCATCAATTATCGGTTAGAATGGTATGTGATGTTTCTTGTTTTATATATATATATACACACACACGGGTCCTCAATTTTGATAGCTCTTAAAAGTCATACTTAACGCATTTGTACATGCTCCTGCAGGCCTGTGTGGATCCCTCGACAAAAGATGAATTGAATGTTGTGGAGATTGAAGGACAAGATTCAGAGGGTCAGAAGGTCAAGGCAGTTCTAGCAACACTCAAGCCTTCAACTCTCCCAAGTGTAAGTAGACTTGGTCATAATTTTTGTAATGACATTTCATACATTTCAATTATTTTCCTTGTTGATTTTAATGAACGTTTTGTTTGCAGGTATGTTTGGGTGGGTTTGAGATCACGCCACCGGTTGTTTTCCGTCTGCGCACTGGTTCTGGTCCAGTTCACATTAGTGGACAGCATCTTGTTAGTAAGTATTGTTTGTAGTCTCGAATGCTCTCAAACGGTTTGTGGTTATCTGGAAATTTCTTAATGGAATCATGTTTCAGTCATGGGAGGAGATCAGTCTTTTGATGAAGAGGAGGAGGAGGAGGAAGAAGAGGAAACCGTGATGACATCCAAGAAGAGGCCAGCGCTGTCAACTCCAAAGCCTTCAGTGAGTTCTGGAATTAGCTGGGAACTACATTTTTTGATGTAATTTTGTGACTCATTTTCTAACAATTTTTCTTTTATATAGAAAAAAATGAAGATGGATGAGGAAGATGACGATGATGAGTAAGTGTTGTTGTTTGTATTTTTGTAAAGTTAACAGTCTAAGGTAATTTTGAAGTGCCTTTTTTTAGATTTGTGTATCAAGTATAAATACAGTATGTGACATGCTACTATTAAATTCTTAAAGTTTTCGATTAATTACTTTTGTCATTCCAAACCCCTGAGGCTTCATTCATATTCAGAGCACAAATTAAGTTATTTTAGCTGAATTCTGAGAGCTCCTTCATAGACAGCAAGTTGCCTGACTGTTCAAGGTGCTGAAAATACCAAAATGCAGGCCTTTAGTGGGTCAAGGACAATAATATTAAGCTATGAAAATCCTTGTGTGTCAGTATATGAGAGTGCTGTGCTTTTTATGCATGTTGTGCTGCTGACATTGTTCAGGGGCCTGTTTCAGTAAGGAGGTTCAAACAACTCAGAGTTTAAACTTGAACTCTGAGTTGATTTACCGAGAGATTAAAAACTCTGAGTTTTCGGTTTCAGAATAGCTGATCTGAGTTGGGTCAATCAACTTCGAGTAGACCAACTCAGAGTTAAGCGCGCACACCGTGACTTTAA